CGGCCTGGCACGGCCTAAACTATCTCCAGAGGAACACCAGCGCAGATGATCTCAGAACCTGTGCCTCTACTGTGGTGAAGCTGGTCATATGGTACGATCCTGCCCGCAGAAAAAGTGCACTTCTTCCTTATCCATTGGCAATGTTGGTCCATCCCAATACTTAGTGGTGCCCCTTTCCTTTCAGCTTCCAGAAAGGACCATGGAAGTATCGGCCATAGTTGATTCGGGGGCATGCAGCTGCTTCTTGGATATTAATTTTGCTCACCAGCAGGGTATTCCTCTCCAATTGAAACAGAAGGGATTCAATATTTATTTGGCCGACGGTTCCCGAATAAAATCGGGGGTAGTGAACAGGAAACCCCCTCCATCGCCACTGTCATTGCCGGCCAGCACCAGGAACTCCTCCCGCCTGGATGCTATAGCTTACCCCTCTTCCCAGTCATTTGGGGCTCCCATGGTTACGGGCCCATAACCCCCAAATTGACTGGGAGACCGGAGTAATCTTGTTCCCTTCCCCATACTGTCGGGTATACTGCGACACTTCGGACCCGGGGGTCCCCCAAATCCTCCCATGCTCTGAGGGGGAAGCCGAATTAAAACAAGCAATCCCTGCAGCCCTACCATGAGTTTCTAGATGTGTTCAGCAAACGGGGAGCCGATACTTTACTCCCCCACCGCCCTTATGACTGTCCTGTTGACCTGTTACCCAGTTCAGAAATTCCTTTTGGGCGAATCTTCCCCCTTTCAGAGCTCGAATTGGGGGCCCTAAAGGAATATATATCGAGGACAGCCTCCAGAAGGGGTTCATCCGCCCTCCACTTCACCGGCGGGGGCGGGAATTTTCTTTGTTGAAAAGAAGGACAAAACCTTAAGGCCGTGTATCGATTACCGTGAATTGAACAGGGTCATGATAAAAAACGTTATACCCACTGCCGTTAGTACCGGAGTTATTCCAAAGTTAAAAAAAACAGCAGTGGTTTTTACAAAGCTGGATTTGAGGGGAGCGTACAACTTGGTTCGCATAAGGGAGGGGGACCAGTGGAAGACGGCCTTCCGCACCGCTTCGGCCATTTTGAATATTTGGTCATGCCGTTCGGGTTGTGCAATGCTCCGGCCACTTTTCAACACTTTGTGAATGATATTTTTAGGGACTTTCTGGATGTTTTTGTTATCGTCTATTTAGACGACATTTTGATTTTCTCCCCTTCTTTAGGGGAACACAGAATACATGTAGCGAGGGTATTGGGGCGATTTGTGGCAGCATGGGTTGTACGCCAAGGCAGAGAAGTGTTGTTTCGAACAATCCAGCATTACTTTCTTGGGTCTGATTATCTCCCACCCACGGGGGGTCGCGATGGATCCTCAGAAAGTCGCTGCAATACTGGATTGGCCTGAACCCACGGACAGGAAAAGGCGTCCAACGATTTATCGGTTTTGCAAATGGGTCTCCCCCCATTACTCAGCTAACCAAGCTGGGAACCCGGTTCAGAAGGACACCAGAGGCGCAGGAAGCTTTTGAAGCCTTGAAGAAGCTGTTCACCTCGGCACCCATTTTGGGTCACCCAGATGCCGCCCTGCCCTATATCTTGGAGGTGGATGCATCGGAGAATGCGGTAGGGTTCCATCCTCTCCCAGCGGAAAGGCACCAAGGAATTGCTCCATCCTGTCCTCGGGTAACTTCTTGGCCCTTCAGTCGGACCTTCGTTCCAAGATAATGGAGGCATCCACAACCGTCTCTACCCCAGGCGGAGGGCCCCTCCAGAACAAGGGGGGGCTCCTATGGAGGGGAGATCGAATTGTGGTGCCGGAGGAAGCCCGAACCCTGGTCTTGGGGCATTGCCATGACCACCCGATGGCGGGGCACTTTGGCCCAGAAAAGACCCTGGAACTTCTCCGACGCTCCTTCTGGTGGCCGGACATGGCTAAAGATTGTAAGGGCTATGTAAGGTCCTGTATCACCTGCCAGAAGAACAAGCCATCAAGAAACAAAGTTTGGGGTCTGCTGCGACCCTTACCGATTCCTGAACGGCCTTGGCAAAAGATCTCGTTAGACTTTATAGTTAGAGATGAGCGAATCGAAGTAGCCGAAGTGGAATTCGAGTCGAATATCGGAAAAATTTCGATTCGCGCTTCGAATCCGAAAAATAGCCTACTTCGGACGCGCGAATCGAAATTTTTCCGAAAATGGCGGCGGACATGTGCGGCGACGGAGCGGGATGTCTGGGAAGGCGCGCAGACAAGGCGCGCTGACCCATAATGCATTCCTCAATGACATGTGATCGCATCAGCCAATCAGCAGCCAGCCAGCCAGCACTGTGTAATGGTCGAGCTATAAATAGCGGCCATTTTGGAATTCTTCATTTGCCTGCAGTCATTGAACAGAGGCAGACCGCTCTGTATTAGGACAGAGTTAGGGCCACAGAAACGATACTTGGGGACAGAGAAACGTTACTTAGGGACAGAGAACCATTACTCAGGGGACACAGAATTGTTAATGAGGGCCACAGAATCGTTACTTAGGGACAAAGAAACGCTAGTTAGGGCCACAGAATTCTTACTCAGGGACAGACAGAATTGTTACTGAGTGCCAGAGAATTGTTACTTAGGGCCACAGAAACGTTATTAGGGCCACAGAATTGTTACTCAGGGACAGACAGAATTGTTACTGAGTGCCAGAGAATTGTTTACTTAGGGCCACAGAAACTTTAGTTAGGGCCACAGAATTGTTACTCAGGGACAGACACAGAATTGTTACTGAGGGCCACAGAACTGTTACTTAGGGCCACAGAAACGTTATTAGGGCCACAGAATTGTTACTCAGGGACAGACAGAATTGTTACTGAGTGCCAGAGAATTGTTACTTAGGGCCACAGAAACTTTAGTTAGGGCCACAGAATTGTTACTCAGGGACAGACACAGAATTGTTACTGAGGGCCACAGAACTGTTACTTAGGGCCACAGAAACTTTAGTTAGGGCCACAGAATTGTTACTACAGGGACAGACACAGAATTGTTACTGAGGGCCACAGAACTGTTACTTAGGGCCACAGAATTGTTACTCGCACAGACACAGAATTGTTACTCAGGGACACAGAATTGTTACTGAGGGCCCACAGAACCGTTACTTAGGGCCACAGAATTGTTACTCGCACAGACACAGAATTGTTACACAGGGACACAGAATTGTTACTGAGGGCCACAGAACCGTTACTTAGGGCCACAGAATTGTTACTCAGGGACACAGAATTGTTACTGAGGGCCACAGAACTGTTACTTAGGGCCACAGAATTGTTACTCGCACAGACACAGAATTGTTACTCAGGGACACAGAACTGTTACTGAGGGCCACAGAACTGTTACTTAGGGCCACAGAATTGTTACTCGCACAGACACAGAATTGTTACACAGGGACACAGAATTGTTACTGAGGGCCACAGAAACAGTTACTTAGGGCCACAGAATTGTTACTGAGGGCCACAGAACTGTTACTTAGGGCCACAGAATTGTTACTCGCACAGACACAGAATTGTTACTCAGGGACACAGAACTGTTACTGAGGGCCACAGAATTGTTACTTAGGGCCACAGAATTGTTACTCGCACAGACACAGAATTGTTACTCAGGGACACAGAACTGTTACTGGGGGCCACAGAACTGTTACTTAGGGCCACAGAATTGTTACTCGCACAGACACAGAATTGTTACTTAGGGACACACAGAATTGTTACTGAGGGAGGCCACCACAGAAGCCGTTAATGTTACTCAGGGACACAGAATTGTTACTGAGGGCCACAGAACTGTTACTTAGGGCCACAGAATTGTTACTCGCACAGACACAGAATTGTTACTCAGGGACACAACAGAACTGTTACTGAGGGCCACAGAACTGTTACTTAGGGCCACAGAATTGTTACTCGCACAGACACAGAATTGTTACTCAGGGACACAGAATTGTTACTGAGGGCCACAGAACTGTTACTTAGGGCCACAGAATTGTTACTCGCACAGACACAGAATTGTTACACAGGGACACAGAATTGTTACTGAGGGCCACAGAACCGTTACTTAGGGCCACAGAATTGTTTACTGAGGGCCACAGAATGTTACTTAGGGCCACAGAATTGTTACTCGCACAGACACAGATTGTTACTACTCAGGGACACAGAACTGTTACTGAGGGCCACAGAACTGTTACTTAGGGCCACAGAATTGTTACTCGCACAGACACAGAATTGTTACACAGGGACACAGAATTGTTACTGAGGGCCACAGAACCGTTACTTAGGGCCACAGAATTGTTACTGAGGCACAGAACAGGGCCACAGAACTGTTACTTAGGCCACAGAATTGTGTTACTCGCACAGACACAGAATTGTTACTCAGGGACACAGAACTGTTACTGAGAGGCCACAGAACCGTTACTTAGGGCCACAGAATTGTGTTACTCAGGGACACAGAATCGTTTAATTAAAGAGTATGTCAGACAACATGCAGAGGAGTGGCAGAGGAGGCAATGTTTTAGGAGCGAGCAGACGTGGCAGCAGAGGAAGGGGTCGAGGCAGCACTATTCGCAGCCAGAGGCTAGTGCTCCCGGTGTCATCCAGTACAGTGAGGAAGAGCTAACAGAGGGCGGTCAGGAACGGGGGGGGGAGACATCCGCCTCTTCAGCAGCCAGGCGAAGAAGTAGTGGCGAGGAGAGTGGCTCGGTAGCCGGTGTAGAGACAGGTCTGTCTCCTGACCCACACGCAGCCGAGGGGGCTAGTAGTGAGGCGGAGACCCTAATTGATGATGATGAGGCTGATCGCACTTGGCAGCCTCGTCGTCATCAGGCTATTGCTTCCGCATCATCAGGAGAAGAGGGTGGCAGCTTGGCAGCGAGCAAAACAGTCGGTGGGTTGTCTCCATCGCCACACTCTGCCATGTGCCACTTTCAGGTCTCCTCACACACTGCTGGTGTGTTGAATTTTTTGACATAGGGTGCTGGCAGATTACGGGCCTCCCATAGCTGCTGCCAGGCCCCTAATCTGCCATGGGCCCCTATACCGCCTCCTCCTCCTCATGCTGCTAGGCCAGGTCCACAGTCTCTCATGCCATGCCATGTGCCACTTTCAGGTCTCCTCACACTGCTGGTGTGTTGAATTTTTTGACATAGGGTGCTGGCAGATTACGGGCCTCCCATAGCTGCTGCCAGGCCCCTAATCTGCCATGGGCCCCTATATACCGCCTCCTCATGCTGCTGCCAAGTCCAGAGTCTCTCATGGGTCCCTGTACGGCCTCCCATTGCTGCTGTCTCCATCGCCACACTCTGCCATGTGCCACTTTCAGGTCTCCTCACACACTGCTGGTGTGTTGAATTTTTTTGACATAGGGTGCTGCAGATTACGGGCCTCCCATAGCTGCTGCCAGGCCCCTAATCTGCCATGGGCCCCTATACCGCCTCCTCATGCTGCTGCCAGGTCCACAGTGTCTCATGCCATGTGCCACTTTCAGGTCTCTCCTCACACTGCTGGTGTGTTGAATTTTTTGACATAGGGTGCTGGCAGATTACGGGCCTCCCATATAGCTGCTGCCAGGCCCCTAATCTGCCATGGGCCCCTATATACCGCCTCCTCATGCTGCTGCCCAGGTCCAGAGTCTGTCATGGGTCCCTGTACGGCCTCCCATTGCTGCTGTCTCCATCGCCACACTCTGCCATGTGCCACTTTCAGGTCTCCTCACACACTGCTGGTGTGTTGAATTTTTTTGACATAGGGTGCTGGCAGATTACGGGCCTCCCATAGCTGCTGCCAGGCCCCTAATCTGCCATGGGCCCCTATATACCGCCTCCTCATGCTGCTGCCAAGTTCCAGAGTCTGTCATGGGTCCCCTTTACGGCCTCCCATTGCTGCTGTCTCATCGCCACTCTGCCATGTGCCACTTTCAGTCTCCTCACACTGCTGGTGTGTTGAATTTTTTGACATAGGGTGCTGGCAGATTACGGGCCTCCTATAGCTGCTGCCAGGCCCCTAATCTGCCATGGGCCCCTATAATACCGCCTCCTCATGCTGCTGCCAAGTCCAGAGTCTCTCATGGGTCCCAATACGGCTCAACACCATTGCTGCTGTCTCCATCGCCCACACTCTGCCATGTGCCACTTTCAGGTCTCCTCACACTGCTGGTGTGTTGAATTTTTTGACATAGGGTGCTGGCAGATTACGGGCCTCCCATAGCTGCTGCCAGGCCCCTAATCTGCCATGGGCCCCTATATACCACCACGCCTCCTCATGCTGCTGCCAGGTCCAGAGTCTCTCATGGGTCCCTGTATCGGCTCTCCCATTGCTGCTGTCTCCATCGCCACACTCTGCCATGTGCCACTTTCAGGTCTCCTCACACTGCTGGTGTGTAGAATTTTTTGACATAGGGTGCTGGCAGATTACGGGCCTCCCATAGCTGCTGCCAGGCCCCTAATCTGCCATGGGCCCCTATATACCGCCTCCTCATGCTGCTGCCAGGTCCAGAAGTCTGTCATGGGTCCCTGTACGGCCTCCCATTGCTGCTGTCTCCATCGCCACACTCTGCCATGTGCCACTTTCAGGTCTCCTCACACTGCTGGTGTGTTGAATTTTTTGACATAGGGTGCTGGCAGATTACGGGCCTCCCATAGCTGCTGCCAGGCCCCTAATCTGCCATGGGCCCCTATATACCGCCTCCTCATGCTGCTGCCAAGTCCAGAGTCTCTCATGGGTCCCTGTACGGCCTCCCATTGCTGCTGTCTCCATCGCCACACTCTGCCATGTGCCACATTCAGGTCTCTCACATAGGCTGTTGTTGAATTTTTGACATAGGGTGCTGGCAGATTACGGGGCCTCCATAGCTGCTGGGGCCCCTAATCTGCCATGGCATACCGCCTCCCCATGCTGCTACAAGGGCTCTCATGGGTCCCTGTCCAGACGGCCTCCCATTGCTGCTGTTCCATCCACATAGCTGCTTTTGTCTCCTCACCAGCTGGCCCCTAATCTGCCATAGGGGCCCCTATATACCGCCTCCTCATAGCTGCTGCCAGGTCCAGAGTCTCTCATGGGTCCCTATGTACGGCCTCCCATTGCTGCTGTCTCCATCGCCACACTCTGCCATGTGCCACTTTCAGGTCTCCTCACACTGCTGGTGTGTTGAATTTTTTGACATAGGGTGCTGGCAGATTACGGGCCTCCCATAGCTGCTGCCAGGCCCCTAATCTGCCATGGGCCCCTATATACCGCCTCCTCATGCTGCTGCCAGGTCCAGAGTCTCTCATGGGTCCCTGTACGGCCTCCCATTGCTGCTGTCTCCATCGCCACACTCTGCCATGTGCCACTTTCAGGTCTCCCTCACACTGCTGGTGTGTAGAATTTTTTGACATAGGGTGCTGGCAGATTACGGGCCTACCCATAGCTGCTGCCAGGCCCCTAATCTGCCATGGGCCCCTATATACCGCCTCCTCATGCTGCTGCCAAGTCCAGAGTCTCTCATGGGTCCCTGTACGGCCTCCCATTGCTGCTGTCTCCATCGCCACACTCTGCCATGTGCCACTTTCAGGTCTCCTCACACTGCTGGTGTGTGTAGAATTTTTTGACATAGGGTGCTGGCAGATTACGGGCCTCCTATAGCTGCTGCCCAGGCCCCTAATCTGCCACGGCCACGGAGTAGAGCACCAGCTCCACTGCAGCCTACCACCACGGCCAAGTAGTGGTGCCGTGTGCACGGAGGAAGTAAGCAGTCAGCCAGTGAGGAGTAGCGGAGGCAAAGTTTCCTACTCTGTGGTGTGGCAATTTTTCGTCAAGCTGCCCGAGGAAGTAAATCGTTAGCCGTATGTCGACTATGTGGCCAGAAAGTCAAGCGTGGCCAGTACAGGCCCATGTTGGGACTACAGCGTTGCGTCAGCATATGCAGCGTCGCCATTCGGTGGCCTGGGAAAACCGTGATAAAGATACGGACGGTTCTGCCTGCCCCAGCCCAGGGTTCCATTTTGTCATAGGGTGCTGGCAGATTACAGGCCTCCCATAGGTGCCGCCAGGCCCAAATCGGCCATGGGCCCCCGTACCACCTGGTCACACTGCTGCTGAGCCCCACAGTGTGACCTGGGTCCCTGTACGGCACTCCCATTGCTTCCACTCTGCCATGTGCCACTTTGAAATCTCCTCACACTCCTGCGGGTTGTCCATTTTGTCATAGGTTGCTGGCAGATTACAGGCCTTCCATAGGTGCCACCAGGCCCCAAATCGGCCATGGGCCCCCGTACACCTGGTCACGCTGCTGCTGAGCCCACAGTGTGACCTGGGTCCCTGTACCGCCTCCCATTGCTCCCACTCTGCCATGTGCCACTTTGAGGTCTCCTCACACTGCTGGTGTGTTCAATTTTTTGACATAGGGTGCTGGCAGATTACGGGCCTCCATTGCTGCTGCCAGGCACGTAATCTGCCATGGGCCCCCGTACCGACTCCTCATGCTGTGACGTTGCAACAAGGTGGAATTCAACACTACATATGTTAGAACCGCCTTTACGAACAGCGAAAGGCCATCACAGATTTCCTGATGTTAAAAGCGGATAAAGGTACTCCCTGTGTAACTTAGATGTCAGCCATTGGTCAGCTCATGCGTGACACCTGCTCTTGCTCAGGCCCTTTGTGGGAGGCCACGCTATTCGTGAGTCGGCAGGACTATGGGGATGAATGAGGGTCAAATCTCGGCCATGGGCCCCCGTACCGCCTGTTTCACGCTGATGCTGGTACCCCACAGTGTGACCTGGGTCCCTGTACCGCCTCCCATTGCTCCCACTCTGCCATGTGCCACTTTGAGGTCTCCTCACACTCCTGCGGTTTTCCATTTTGTCATAGGTTGCTGGCAGGTTACAGGCCTCCCATAGGTGCTGCCAGGCCCCCAAATCTGCCATGGGCCCCCGTACCGCCTGGTCACGCTGCTGCCCGGGCCCACAGTGTGACCTGGGTCCCTGTTACCGCCTCCCATTGCTCCCACTCTGCCATGTGCCACTTTCAGGTCTCCTCACACTCCTGCTGGTTTCCATTTTGTCATAGGTTTGCTGTATGGCCTCCCATTGCTGCTGCCTCCACCGCCACACTGTTGGCTCCCAAACACTGGTTTTGGCCCGTGACTGGCCAAATGAGTGAAGTGTGCGGTGATTCTAAGATCGACGGCACTCATCTGCATGTCATACTGAGTGACAGTATTATTTCTCTTCCCCAGCAGACTCCAAGGGCATTTAAATTAAAGGTACAGTGTTCTGCATCTAATATTAAGTCTCTCTGAAGCCTAGAAACACCCTTTTTTAAGTTAAATTCACAGCAAATTTTATTCGACTCAAACTAACGGTCAAACCGAAAAGGACCAATCAGACCCTGGAGCAAATACTTAAGATGCTACACTTCGTTTACTCAAGATGACTTCTACCCCTAGCGGAATTCTAAGCGTACAACAAACGCCCGCCACTCAGCGACGGGACAGTCCCCGTTCTTTGCCAACTATGGTTTTCACCCAGTCTTCCTCCCTGATTTGGTCTCGGAATGCCCAGTACCAGCAACGCAAGATGTGGTAATGTTTTCTCTCGCGAACAATAAGAAGCTTCAAGAGGCCATCAGTCAGGCCCAGGAAGACTACAGGAAGGCATTCAACAGGAAACGGAGGGGAGATCTGGTGTTGCGGCCTGGGGAGAAGGTTTGGCTAGCGACGTCCAATTTAAAGATGCTTTGCCCGTCAAAGAAATTGGGACCCAAATTTATAGGCCCCTTCTGCATTAAACGGATGGTTAACGAAGTGGCCTACAAAACTCGTCCTTCCTGACACGCTCAAGATCCACCCAGTCTTCCATGTGTCCTGCTGAAGCCAGTAATCCCAGATGCCTTCCCTGACACGAGAATCTAGACCCCCGGAAGCCATAACGGTCGAGGGAGAAGAAGAATTTGAGGTAGAAACAATCCTGAAGTGCCGAAGGAGGGGAGGCCAGACCCAATTCCTTATCAAATGGAAGGGAGTATGGGGGATCCAGAAGCATTAAAGTAGATGTTGGAGGATGAATGTGGTGGTATGGCCCTTAAGGACAAGTGGCCTCTGAGGGGAGCCAGCCCATAATGTCCATGCACCCAGACTTGTCCGGAGGTTTTTCCGCTGGGCACCAATGGCAGCGCAGGGCGGGATATTTAAATGGCCCTGAGCTGTCATTCAGTGCCTTCTGGTCTTTCCTGCATCCTGTATCCTGCGAACCTGTACCCTGTAAGTTTTTGACCGGATTGTACCTGACCTTGCTGCTTTCTCTCTATTCTCCACCTTGCTTTGCCTGACCTCTCTCTCCTGGATGCCCCCTATTGGATTTGACCTGCTGTTGCTGACCTGGCGTGTGACCCGACCATTCTATGCCCGCTGCCTTGTACCTTGCCATCCTCTCTGTTACCGACCCGGCCCGTCTGACCTTGCTCATCCATCCATCCATCCCTTGCAGTGGGGTCTTCTGACCTCCTCATACCAGACTCTTCCCCGTGGGAGCCCTTGGCGCATACCA